AAATATACATTTTGACAATGAGATGTTGTCAAACGCATAACTTAAAAAAAAGGTAAAAAAAAGTAAGTACCATTTGGTACAAATTTGGAAATTTGCAAAAGGTTAAAATCCATTAAAATTTCTGTTAAAATCTTAAAAATACCGAATGTAGCCGTATATTAGGGGCTATACGAAGACGTGGACCTGCACAGACAATTTGCAGTCATTGATTTGAAAAAGTTCCGGAAATAGTACCGTATATCGGGAGATACCGTTATATGGGGGCTATACGAAGACCTGGGCCTACATAGCCCATTTTCAATATCAAAAGTCCTGCAGACATAATACACATTTGAGTACATTTTTATCAACTTACATCATTTCGTTCGGATGCCAGGGTGATTTCCACAGCCGGACGTACCTCGCTAAATCGACATAGAATTTTATGCTGATCAAGAATATATTATGGGTTCTAAAATGTATATTGCAAGGTGTTACAAACGGAATTACAAACGTAATATACCCTCCATACTATGGTGATGGGTATAAAAATGTAAACATGACTTTACCTTCTTATTTCTACCATAGTTGAAACCTTAAATTTTCCTTTATCCCTGTTAACATTAATTTATTTAAAAAAAAATGAATTTATTTTATTTTCCTAAAATTCACAATGATTGTCAATTATAATAGAAGCACCTGCAGATACAACTCCGAAACTAGTGGAAAATTAATTACTATAGTTAACTATATTTAGTCATATAACGAACACTTTATTTTATTTTTTTTTGACTTGGTTCGCTTTAGCTGTGAAACCTTGAAATTTTATTCAGAGTAATAATGAACCAAAGTAGATTTTTTTGTTTTTGAATATTTTTTTAGTAATATATTTAAATTATTTTTATTTTAAATTAATATAATTAGTTAATTATGATTATAGACTTTTATATTTTCTTTTGGTAGACTAAAATATTCCTTCCAGAAATTAATGAAAGTGCATTTACTTTACCTCTAAATATCTTTGAATTATGTTTTTATGACTTAGTTCGGTATAGCTGTGAGCCCTTCATATATTGTTCATCCGATTTCTAGTATTTTTACCCACAGCCGTAATATGCACTCCGTAACAACGATATTCAGGGAAATATATCAAATACAGCTCAGAAATATCTTTGGCAAATTTTATCGAGATCGGTTCAGATTTGGATATAGCTCCCATATATATCTTTATCTGATTTCATATTAATTTTGCACCAAATGGGCAATACAAGTCCGAATTTAAAAGATACAAATGCTTCGGCATATTTAGTCCTTTGAACTTTAAATTATAATTATAATCATAGCTTGTATGATTCAATTCTCCCATAAAAACTTTTAATTGTTATGTGGAGCTCTACTAAATTAGAAAAGTGGTGTAGAGTTGCCCGTCTGCCGGTAGAAATTGCGCTAGGCTCTATATTATTTAATATAGAGCTTTGAAGTTTGGCACAAAAAGGTTAATATTATATACGGGCTGATTTGTATTGAAAATGGGCTATATTGGTCTACGTTTAGGTATAGCTGTCATATAACGGTGTCTCCAGATTCTTGATATTTCTGCCACAATTTCCAATCAAATCAGCTGAAATTTAAAATTTTGGAGCTCTTAGTAAGTATGTTCTCTCTCTCTCTCTCTGGAAAAATATATTCGCTAAAGGTCCACTAATTTATATAGCCCCCATGTAACAGAACCTCCACATTTTCGATATTTTCAAGATTTCTGCCATAATTTCCCACCAAATTTAATGAAACTTGAGAATCGAGGTTCTCGGCAAGTCTGATCTCTCGTTGCAAAATTATGGAATTCTGATCCACTTTTTGTTAATATTATCAGCTCTCATAAAATGTAAAAGTGAAGGTAAAAGAATCGAACTGCTATTTGTACCCTACACCACATAATGGTAAGGGTATTTTGTTTTTGTGTCTTTATTTGTAACATGGAGAAGGAAGCGAGATAGACCCATAGTTACTTTTGAGGATCTGTATAGAATCACTTTCTGAGTCGATGTATGCATGTCAGTATGTCTGTCCGTCTGTCCATGTACTTTTGTGAACAAAGTGCAGGTCGCATTTATTATCCGATTGAGATGAAATGTCCTAAACAATATTTATTTGGTCCAAGGACGAACCCTATTGAAATATTCGGATTAGATTTAGATATAAGCTCCCATACATCTTCAACCGATTTCGGCTTAATTGTGCACCAAATGGCCAATATCAGTCCAAATGACCTGCATTTTTGCACATCCGACCGAATTCAGCCCAGAAGCAAGTACATCAAATTCGGAGAAAATCGGTTCAGATATAGATATAGCTCCTATATATATGTACAATCCGATTTAAGGTTTTAAGTCACTCATGTACGTAATATGGCACTCCACATCAATAATCTTTAGCACCAAACATCAAATACAGCTCAGAAATAGATGTTTAAATCCCTTCCTCTTCTTTTTGTCAAGATCGGTTCAGATTTTAATATCCTCCCATATACATCTTCAACCGATCTCGGCTTAATTGTGCACCAAATGGCCAATATCAGTCCGAATGACCTGAATTTTGGTACATCCAACCGAATTCAGCTTAGAAGCATGTACTTCAAATTTGAAAATTTTTTAAATTTTTTTTTCGAGATCGGTTCAGATTTGGATATAGCTCCCATAAATATCTGTATCCGATTTCAGTTTTTTTGTGCATCAAATGGCTAAATGGAGTAAATTGTGGCACATCCGACCGAATTCAGTCTAGAAGTATGTACTTTAAATTTGGAGAAAATCCGTTCAGATGTAGCTATAGCTCCCATATAAAAGTTGCATCTGATTTGGGGTTTTAAGTCCCTCACATGCTTAATATGCCCTCCACAATTATGATCTTTGTTACCAGATTTCTTATAGAGCTCGGAAATACCTCTGCCAAATTTCATCAAAATCGGTTCAGATTTGGTTATAGCTCCCATACATATCTTCAACCGATTTCAGATTTTTGGTGCACCAAATGGCTAATATCAGTCAAATTGAATGAATTTGTGCACATCTGACCGAATTCAGCTTAGAAGCATGTGCTTCAAATTCGGAGAAAATCGCTTCAGATATAGCTATAGCTCCTATACATATGTTTCAATGGATTTGGGGTTTTAAGTCCCTCACATGCATAATATGCACTCCACAAGAATGATGTTTGGCAGCAGATACAGCCCAGAAATACCTCTGCCAAATTTTATCGTGATCGGTTTAGGTTTGGAAATAGCTCCCATATACATCGTCAACCGATTTCGGCTTAATTGTGTACCAAATGGCCAATATCAACCCAAATTACATGAATTTTGATACATCCAACCGAATTCAGTCTGAAAACAAGTGCTTCAAATTTTGGTAAAAATCGGTTCAGATATAGCTATGGCTGCCATATATATGTTTCATCCGATTTGATTTTAAAGTCCCTCACATGTGTAATATACACTACACAACAATGATGGTTTGATACCGGGCTCGAAAATACCTCTGCCAAATTTTATCGAGATCGGTTCAGATTTTTTTATATCTTCAATATATATCTTCATCCGATTTTAGGGTTATTGCTCTCCATATATGTAATATCAGCCCAAATTAAATAGGTTTTTTCATATTCAACCGAATTTTACCATTTAGCGAAACTTGGTCCTGTATATCTATTGTTCCAATAAATATTTTAAATATAATATTTGCCGAAGTCATATCATGCCTCATGGAGCAATGTTATTTGGCTCAAAGTTTATATATAATACTTCTGGAACAACTCTAGTTGAGTAAAAACGCTTCGACTTTTTCCAGTGGTAATACTTTTTCCAGTAAAAATACCTATCACTAGCAAAAAATTTGGAAAAAATCGACCCGGAACCCCAGATTTTTGACCTGAAAGTCTGGGGTCCAGGGTCCGTTTCCCAAGGAAAAAATAGTTTCCCGGAATCAGGGTAAAGATACCTGCCACTGGAAAAAATTGAAATAATCGAAGAGTTTTTACTAAACGAGAGTGAAGCCAAACCTTTTTGTTACGGGAGCTCTACTGAATACGCACAGTGGTGTAGGATATCATATAGTCAACCCCGCCCGACTTTTAACCTTTCCTTACTGGTTTTTAATTTTAAAAAATAAAATCTAATTAAAAATTCACATTTTAACACCTAATGTCAAATCTTAAAAGTTTTGCTGGAACACACCTATACAAATTTAATTGTTATGCATTTAATATGCCCCTGGCACGCTTAACAATTTGTTGCAATTTCAATTACATGAGAGAGCCGACAAGTTGTTTTTGTGTAAATTACCCACACTGCACAGTGGAGTCCACTGATTTGTTTGTGTGTATGCCAGTACATATGAACTATGGAGAGTCAAACTCTCATGTGGTGAGATAAACGAGAAAGTTCTAATTGTTTCTACGAAAAAAAGAGAACTTGTGTTGCCATGAGACTTATCTTACTCTTTTTTCTATATTCCTTACTATGTTTTTTCTAGACTTGATTTCTATATTTGGGGGACCGGACACACCTACGGGCACTTGAAAAAATCACAGTAAGTGCAGAGGGACTAGTGGCAAAACAACCGGGCCCCTTGTAAACACACCTCTCTAGATTAGCCCCTAAAAACACACAATCGCACACACATACACACACCTCGTTTTAACATTCATTCGACCCCCACATGGAAAGTAATCCCGAAAATAAAACGAGAGTCATTTAGTTTGACAATTGTTATTGCCTTGTCTCAAAACGAAGAGGCACGATGGTCTCGTGTCTCTGCCATACCATGCCTAGCCAAGCGACAGACAGACAGATAAGCTCAGAGAAAACAACACCCGATCACACTTTGTCGGTAGGTAAACCCCCTCCTCGGCTGAGGTCAAGTGTGGAGAGTGTGCAAAAACAGAAAACAACAATATCAGTGAATAACGGCAAACAGGTGTTTGTTATTTGCGGGGAGATTTGATTAAAAACACTGGCAGTCAGTGGTCACCGAGACACTTTCATAGTAGCATTTGAATCGTAACCAAGTGCCAAAGCGGGTTCTTAATCAAGTTTGTGTTTGAAATAGAAAAAAAGTGAAAACAGAACAAAATGCGTCTAGGATCAACTGTGCCCAACTTCAAGTGTGATTCCACCAAGGGTCCCATCCAATTCTACGATTGGCAAGGAGATTCGTAAGTTATTGTTTAGAAATTTTTTTGTTGGGAACTGAGTTTCGAAAAGTGATTTAGTGAATATTTTGAAAATAAAAATTAGCGAGTTTTATTTTTTTAATATGCCGCCCTGCTCCGGAACCTGCGAGAATTTTCTGGTTTTGCAAATGTTTCTCGATATCATGGAGGAAAACTCGATCGAAGGCATTATATTAAAGCTTTTTTCGGGGTTAACCTTCCTTGCGAAGATGTATATGAGGTATATGCAATGGAATTTAAACCGACTGGGGATTCTAAATCCTTTACAACGTTAACTGATTATTAGTCCGAATTTGGAATAGGCAAGTTTGCATGCAGCAGTTTTTATACCCTCCACCATACATAGTATGGAGGGTACATTAAGTTCATCATTCCGTTTGTAACTCATCGAAATAATAATTTTGGACACATCAAAGTATATATATATATTCTTGATCAGCGTCAAATTCTAAGCTCTGTCCGTTCCTCCGTCTCTTGTAATCACGCTAGAGTCAAAACGAATAAAGATAGCAAGCTAAAATTTTTCACAGATAAGTCTTTTGTCTGCAGGCAGGTCAAGTACGAAGATGGGTTATATCGCGTCACGATATAGTATAGCCCCCATACAACGGTGCCCCCGATATTCGGTATTTTGATGATTGTAGCCAAATTTTTCAATGCTATTGTTTGAAAATCCACAAAAGGAGTTATTTCTGAGTTCTATACCTCCTGAATGACTATCTATATCTATAAAAGAGGAAAATGTTTGTATGTTTGTTTGTTTGTTTGTTTGTTTGTTTGTTTGTTTGTTTGTAATTTATGGACTCGAAAACCGCTGAATAGATTTTCCTGAAAATTTCCATATATACTCCAACATCGCCTGAAAGTAACATAGGCTATATACATTTTTGAATTTCCACTTGGAACTGGAGATATAGCATCAGAATCGGAGGTACCTCCCAAAAATTTAGATTTTATATGCACATATCTATTGATTGGTTGAAGATACAGTCTCCAAATTTGGAATACGTAACGGAATTTGGTACAAAAATAAGTTTGCCAAATTATATTGTAATCGGTTCAGATTTGGATATAGATCCTATATATATTTTCGACCGATTTCGTTCATTTGATGCCTCAAACACAATATGAATGTTTGACTCCAATGAAATTTGGAATGTGTGACGGGATTTAATCCAAAAATAAATTTGTCAACTTATATTGAAATCGGTTCAGATTTGGATATAGCTCCCATATATATTTTCGGCCGATTTCAAGCATTTGATGCACCAAACACGACATGTATTTCCAATTGTAATGACATTTAAAATTAGTAACGGAATTGGGAGCCAAAATGAATTTGTCAAATTAAATTGAAATCGGTTCAGATTTGGATATAGCTCCCATATATATTTTCGACCGATTTCATGTATTTGATGCACCAAACACGCTATGTATCTCTAATTTCAATGAAATTTGGAATGTGTAGCGGAAATTAAAACAAATATACATTTGTCAAATTATATTAAAAAAATATGTATGAAATCGGCCGAAATATATATGTTAGCTATATCCAAACATCAACTGATTTCAATATAATTCGATTTTTGCTGGTGCCAGATTTTGTCTCTCTCGCTTTGGGTGCATCAAATATGTGAAATCGGCTGAGTATATATATGGGAGCTATAATCACATCTGAGCGTATTTGAATATAATTTGTCAAATTTATTTTTGTACCAAATTTAGCCACTCATGCCGAACTTCGTTGGAATCGGAAATACGTATCGTGTTTTGTGCATCAAATATGTGAAATCGGCGGAAAATATATATGGGAGCTATATCCAAATCTGAACCGATTTTAATATAATTTGGCTAATTTATTTTCTGATCAAAATCCCGTTACATATTCCAAATTTCTTTGGAATCGAACATACATATCGTGTATGGTGCATAAAATACATGAAATCGGTCGAAAATATATATGGGAGCTATATCCAAATCTGAACCGATTTCAATTTAATTTGACAAATTCATTTTGGCTCCCAATTCCGTTACTTATTTTAAATTTCATTACAATTGGAAATACATATCGTGTTTGGTCCACCAAATACATGAAATCGGCCGAAAATGTATATGGGAGCTATATCCAAATCTGAACCGATTTCAATATAATTTTGGAAATCAATTTTTTAGATAAAATCTATCACACGTTTCAAATTTCATTGAAATTGGGGATATATAGCGTGTTTGGCGCATCAAATGCTTGAAATCGGCCGAAAATGTATATGGGAGCTATATCCAAATCTGAACCGATTTCAATATAATTTGACAAATTTATTTTCGGATTAAATTCCGTCACACATTCCAAATTTCATTGGAATCGAACATTTATATTGTGTTTGAGGCATCAAATGAACGAAATCGGTCGAAAATATATATGGGAGCTATATCCAAATCTGAGCCGATTACAATATAATTTGGCACACTTATTTTTGTTCCAAATTCCGTTACGTATTCCAAATTTGGAGACTGTATCTTCAACCAATCAATAGATATGTGCGTATAAAATCTAAATTTTTGGGAGGTACCTCCGATTTTGATGATATATCTCCAGTTCCAAGTGGAAATTCAAAAATGTATATAGCCTATGTTACTTTCAGGCGATGTTGCAGTATATATGGAAATTTTCAGGAAAATCTATTCAGCGGTTTTCGAGTCTATAAATTACAAACAAACAAACAAACAAACATACAAACATTTTCCTCTTTTATAGATATAGATATATATTCTCGGCCGATTTCACATATTTGACGCACCAATTTCAATTAAATATGAAAGGTGTGGCGGAGTTTGGTGTAAAAGTAATATTTTTAAAATTATATTTAAATCGGATCAGATTGGGATATGGTTTTAATAAGAACCATTGACCCACAACGCCTTAGGTTAACACTAAAAAACAACACAACAATTTATTTGAAATACGCTTATTACGGCGAAGTATGTTGCTATCTCGAATTCACTAATCTCTAAATTTAGACTCATCTATATGATATGTCTACGATATTTGGCTATATTCTTCATCGAAATCCGAATAAAAAAGCCAGAAGTTCGCTTTTTGTGTATTTTGGATATTGCCTGTGTGTTATTTTCAGCGTTTCAGAATGGAAATGTTGGTATTTTTTTCACACAAGGTAGTGGTCCATTCTACCCGCTGCCTAAACCCTAACTACATGCAATATTTCGTGTCCTTTGGTTTCTATTTGCGACCTTATAACAGCTGCAAAATCAGGAACATTTTTAGTTGTGGGTCCATTTCAACCCCTAAATGATCATCTTTAAAAATAATACGCCTAGCTCTTCTGAGCCTAACCCTACCCTTGTGAACATTTTGGTGAAGATCGGACGATAATTGCAATCTGTATATAATAACCCCATATAAGTCAAATTGAAATCGCATGCGATAAAAATTTGAAGAAATAAAAAAATGTCAAAAAAATACTACAAAATCTATAATAACATCATTATTGGCATTTTTATGCGATTTTTTAGATTTTATTCTTTTATGCATTCTGGATTATGAGGGCATTCTGAATTGACAAAATTTGTCAAAATCGATCCAGCCGGTCCATCTCGATTTCACTAATTGCAATAGAAATGCCACTCTACTTAAAAAAATTGCAGTTTCCTGCACGCTTGGTATTTGCTATGAAATAAATAAATCCAAATGACAAACCCTTCGTGTATGCATGTCATGTTACTGCTTTTGTAATGATATTGTTTATTAACGCATTAAATTAATGCAATATTTTTTTTTTTAATTTTTAAATTTGTGTTTCTTTATCCAACATATATTCGTATATAAAATTTTGAATGCATATAAAATCAAAAGGGGTAGCGAAGCGCACCGGGTTCAGCTAGTTGACTATAAATGTCCACGATATCGTATATCTCCCATATAACAGTACCTTCCTACATTCGGTATTTTGGTGATTTTAGGTACATTCTTCAATGGAATTGTCTAAAAATCCATGCTAGAAATTCTTTCTAGGCACTTTACCCCCTGGAAAAGAAATATCTTTATAGGTCCACGAAATCGCATAGCCCACATAAAACGGTACCCCCTCCCCTATATTCAATATTTTGACGATTTTATTTACATTATTAACCGGAATAGTTCAAATTTCGTATTTGGAGTTCGTAATGCAAACTACAGTCTATGACAGAAAATTTTCTGTTCAAGTTGGGATTCGCAATGGGTACTACAGCCTATGACAAAAAATTTCGTATGCAGGCCCACGCCTTCGCATGGCCTCCATATAACGTCCCCTCCCAATATTCGGTATTTTGATGATTTTAGCGACATTTTTCACCGGAGTTGTTTCAAATTTCGTATTTAGAATTCGTAATGGGTACTACAACCTATGACAAAAAATTGCCTATGCAGGCCCACGTCTTCGTATAACCTCCATATAACGGTACCTCCCAATATTCGGTATTTTGATGATTTTAGCTACATTAGAATTGTCTAAAAATCCAAGCTAGAAGTTCTTTCTAAGCGCTTTACCCTCTGGAAAAGAAAAAAATTGCCTATGCAGGCCCCCTCTTCCTATAGCCACCATATAACAGTACCTCCCAATATTCGGTATTTTGATGATTTTAGCGACAATATTCACCGGAGTTGCTTCAAATTTCGTATTTAGAGTTCGTAATGGGAACTACAGTCTATGACTAACAATTTGCAGGTTCAGGTCTTTGTATAGGCCTTATATATCAGTACCTCCCTATATTCGGTATTTTGACGATTTAGGTAAATTAAATCTGAACTGTTCTTCATCAAATTTGGCATAGGTATTTCTGGGCTGTATCTTATATCTGGTACCAAAGATCATTGTTGTGGAGTGCATATTTCGTATGTGAGGGACTTAGAACCCAAATCGGATGACACATATATATATGGGTGCTACAGCTATATCTGAACCGATTTTCACCAAATTTTATGTACT